ACATAATACAAAAGTTAAAAAGAGATTAAATAGGATATCCCAAACCCAATTAAAATTGACAATGACATTTTTTTTTAAAGAATTCAAATTAAAACTAACAGTAATAAATAATTTATTTTGTTTTGTTCAGGCCAGGCTGGCTTGCTGGAAAAGTCAACTTTTTAGGGAGCGTCGGAAGGACCGGAGGTCGGGGATTATACGAAGCTCCGGGGGCAGCTCATTACAGAGGGAAGGCGCTCCTACAGAGAAGGGTCTCCCCCTGGGGGTCACTAGCCGACACTGTCTGGCCGACAGCACCCTGAGGAGGCCAACTCTGTGGGATCGCACTGGACGATGGGAGGCTACCGGTGGCAGTAGATAGTCTCGCAGGTATCCTGGGCCTAAGCCATGGAGCGCTTTAAAGGTCAGAATTAGTACCTTGAATCGCAATAGATGGCCCAACATCCTGGAAATTCACCAACTGAAAACTATTGTTAACAATAAGCAATAAACTACCAGTGAGTAAATCAATGAACCCCTCCTATCTCTATTGGAAGGGTCACACTTCCATGGCTTTAAAAATCGCAACAGCACTGGGTCCTACGAAGCTCAGGGAAATGATGTTGCACAAGACAATACAGCTACAGAGAAGGCACGGAGTAGCCCCACAGTGAGAGAGGTGGCAAGTATATTTAACAAATAAAATACATAAATATTGTCTAGGTCTCACAAATGTTTTACAATTGGGATGTGAAATGTGCCAACCCTTACAGATTTTATTGAACAGGAAGAAATGACAGCAGAAAAACTGCCCTGCAAGTCCTAGGCCACTCAGTGCTCAATAAGACAGAATATGTTGAACTGCACCCAGAAACCAACTAGTATCTTCTAGAGCTTGGAGAATAGAAATGTTACATGGACAAAAAAAGGAACATCCATAACTACTTGTGTAGCTACATTCCAAACCAGTTGTGGCATCTGAGTAGTCTTCATATCTTTGAAATATGGTCTTAACTAAGTCATAGACCGATGAGTCAATTTTAAACTTACATGCGGGCAGAGGTATCTACAGGATCTAATACTTCCATCATTTTGACTTATTTAAGATTTTCATGTTGATGAAAGCAGTGTTGTGCTGACGCTTTTTTATTGTCCCCTCCTTTCCAGTGTGATTTAGATATGAATAAGGAATACTTTTTATCTTGGATAAGTTGCTGAGCAAAAAAGATGACTTTTGCCCTTTCCCTCAGGATAGGATATGCACATCAAAGATAGAAACGAGGAGATAACTTTGCAAACCAGATGGAAAACTCAGAGACTGATGTTCTCTGTGCCTATTAACTGACAATGTAAAATTATTATCTGTATATACTAGCAAGTATATTACTGAGAACTATAAAATGAAAACGAGATATGTCTCATATTTTCTTCTCTGCGGCTTTCTCTCTAGCAGAGGATTTCTAGGGAGCTAGCTGTTTGTTTACAAACTCTTTCTCCTTCATAAATCACTATCTTTTCATGAGCAAGTGAAAGGGCATACAAATGTTTTTTTTTTAAAGAAAGAAACACAAAGACCTTGAGTGTTTATAACATTTTTTCAAAGATATTAGATTTTATGGTCATAAAAGATAATTTAATTGCTTCTTCAAATATGCAAATAATATGAGAGAATTTTCTTTTAGATTAGATTGCCCTCTACTGTTTTCCTCCTTATAAATTCCTCCTTTTCTACAGATAATGTTTTTTCCATGCTAGTTCATGAAAATAACAGTTCCAGAGGTATAAGTGGTCTGATGTTTAGTCTCTCTGTAAACAATAGAACAGCAATTAAAATTAGAATAAAATACATTTAATCCTTTACAAAGCAGAAAATATAGCTTTCACAATTAATTATTCATGTATAATATATATTTTTCTATGAAAAACCTTTGATACACAGGTTTTTCTTGAAAATAAATAAAAATACCTTTTTATTGCCTTCTGTATACTAGTAAAATGCTTATACCATCTACTTCCTAAGACTGTACAAGCTTAAAGGAATCCAACCAACATATTATCCCAGGTACTGGGTTAAACTCTAGTCTAGATAATCACAGGAAAAGTTCAACCTCTAGCAAATTTGAGCCACTTTGTTGGCAAAGTACTGTGAAAAACTGTCAAAGCTGCCAAGTGGAAGATAACACTCTCCTAAACTGGAAGATGCCACCCTAAACAAATCAATCGGGCAACAGCTCATCAATGCTTCTGTTACTATCACAATGTCAGTCTGAATCTGAACTTGTACTAAGTCAGATTTACTGTCACTTTGTCTCTTGGAGCTCCTTAATAAACCAAGGTGACAATCAGAATTAACAAGAAAGAGAGGCTACTTAGGAGCAAACTCATTAAAGCTTCCTGTACACAGTCGTTCATTATAAAAGCAACAGAACTGGCTGCCAAATTGTTAAGATATTCCTAGATCCACTTGAGGCAGTCTATTGTATTAGATTTGTTTGCCCATTGGTGGGCATAGTTAACAGTCAATTTTATTTGAACCAGAAAATCACGTGACCACAGCAGGAGGCTCAAGGTAATTTATACCCTTTTTATCCAGATTGTTAATTATCTGCTCTTAGATAAAGACAAGATCTAGTATATGCCCTTTTACATACATCGAGGTATTATATTTACATAAGATCTAGTATACAACCAACTACATATATCAGAGTGGAAATTACAAGTGGTCACTATTGCATTTACAAATTCCCAAGCCTTCCTGGAAGCCTAGAATGAGGTCACCCAACAAGTAATAGGAGAAGCAACACTAGCCCTAAGACTTGATCGAAAAACTCAGCAAGACATTCTCCAAAAAAATCTTTGTCTTCTAAGGAAACAAAGAAATAATAAAGTTCTTCTATTGTATCATTTGTGCAGTCAAAAACTGATGAGAAATGGAATAATAAAGTTCTTCTATCGTATCATTTCTGCAGTCAAAAACTGATGAGAAATGGAATCACATATTTTGACTTATATGGCAATGGCAGAGGCAGACTCCTAAACAGAGCATAGTGCAGTCATGGCTAACCTTTTTGCCATGGCGTGCCAAAAGCAAGGGGAGCAGGGTCGTGTGCGCACGTGCCCACACCCATAATTCTATACGCCCTTCCCCTTCTATGCACGCGCGACCCCCCCCGCTCTCCCCCTGCTTTTGGCAAGCGGCGGCACGATGGACCCGTTTTTCACCCTCTCCAGGCTCCAGAGGCTTTCTAGGAGCCTGAGGAGGGCAAAAACGGCCTCCCCCCCCCCCGGAGGTCCTCCAGAGGCCAGAAACGGCCTGTTTTCCAACTTCCAGTTTGTGCATTGAGCTGTTTTTCAACCTCCGAAAGCTTCAGGGAAGCCTCCTGAGGGCAAAAAATTGCAGAAAATCATGGCAGAAATCAGCAGAGCTGACAGGGCAATGCCTTACGTGCCCTCAGAAATGACTCCGCGTGCCACCTGTGGAACGCCATAGGTTCGCCATCATGGGCATAGTGTAAATATAAGACTCCTCTGTATGATATAAACTACAGGGCTGGAACAGAACAGAGCAAATCCTTGCCTCCTTGTCTATTGTACAAATCATCACTTAACCACACTGAACTCCACTTCAGGAAAACATGAAGGATATTTTTTATGTCTCATCTTCTGTTAAATGAAATTATATATTTCTGCATAATGAACAACTGATTGCATTCGTTTCATTTCAGCCTTCTGCAGTGAGTTCTAGGGTCTTCCCTTCTATCATTGGGCATTGGAGCACACTGGACTAGAAGTGCCGCTACCACAGTAGCATAGAACACTCAGGCTCCTATTGGGGACATAGGTAGGGCAGCTACATGGGCATCTCCATTGCCCTTCATAAGGCACTATCAGTTGGATGCGTTTGCACTGCTGAGGCATCTTTCGGACAAAGGGTGCTTCAGAAAGTGCATGCTCCATTGGGAACTATGAACCAGTAAGTTCCCCACCCTAAGGATAGCTGATTTGGTATGTCCCACTACTGGACCCTCCTGAGCCATCAGCTGGAGAAGGAACATTGGTCCTACCTGAACGTTCTTTCTCAGCATGGGGCAGGAGGGTCCAGACCCCTCCCTGTTAGCTAGGTCCGTAGTCCACTCTGGTTGGGTAGGCTGTGGGGTAGGGGCTGCTCTTCTCTTATTCTCTAGGTTGGAGCTACGTCTTCGTCGCAACTGGGGCCAAGCAAGAGGGGACTAGAGGTGTGGCTTCAATTATGACTCAGTCTCTGGGCAGATAAAGATGTAACAACCCATTACCGGACCCTCCTGAGCCACATTGAGAAAGAACATTCAGGTAGGACCAATATTCCTTCTAATTAATTGTCCAAACAATGATGATGTTATTTATTGCAAATGTATTTTTCAAAGAAAAGTGAAAATTGGAGTTCAAATACTTTCAGTCAGCATTATCTCCTTCAGCTGATCACATCCATACAACATCTAGTCCAGGGGTCCCCAACCCCTGGGCCATGGATCAGTACCGGTCTGGGGCTTGTTAGAAACCGGACCGCACAGATGGAGGTAAGCGGCAGGCAAATGAGCAAAACCTGATCTATATTTACAGCCACATCACCCACTCAGCTCATCAGGTATTAGAATCTCATAGAAGCACAAACCCTACTGTAAACTAAACATGCAGGTGTTTTAGGTTGTGTGCTCTTCCTCCCCCCTCCCCCCCTCCATAGAAAAATTGCTCAGTTCAAAATATGACATAAGAAATAGCATTATAGTTATTCCCTTTTATAGCATTATAGTTATTCCCTTTTCTGCTCAGAAATATAGGCTCCGGACTATAAAAGACTTAATGTTCAGTAATACATTCCCATATATTACAAAAGTTCCCAGTCTTTTAGAAATCCTTCTTACACATTTAATACATACCTTCTGATCTGTAGGGTCTTGGAATAACAAGCCAAAATAGTCCCGTTCGAGTAGGTTAAGATGCTCACACACTTTGTCAAACAACACCTGCCCTTTAGCTTTTTTCTAGGAAGAAATAGGATAAATCAATGAAACATTTATATAATACAATGCTAAATATATTTTATTTTAAAACACACCAATACCAAAGAAAATTACTCTGTATTTGTTATCACTGGTTTCAATTTGCTATTTCAGAAAATAAATCAAAAGTGAATAGATGTTTCATAGTCTATACCCAGCACATAGGAAAGCGCTAATTAAAACGAATAGAGGGGAGCTATTTATTTGGATAACTGAAATTTAAGTAAGACAAATGAAAAATCAGCAGTAATTCTTAAAATCCTGAAATAGTGTTGTATATTTAGGAATCATCAATGTCTCTTAAAACTTTTTTTAAAAGGAATAAAATGTAAAGTGTTTGTTATCTGAGGACTTGCTAATTATCAAATACAGATAGTCCTCAACTTACAACTATCACTTACCAACTGTTCGAAGTTACAATGGGACACACATAAAGTACTTGCACACCTCCATGGTCATGAGACAGCATTTCAGGGACTTTGGCTACATGCTCAGCCTTCAATTAGCTGATATTTAAGTAGCACAAGCCTCATTATTTTTGCTCTTTGCTTTAAACATTAGACTTACGAAAATCTAATGATTTTGATTTAAATATTTAAAACAAGTGTTAGCCATCAATGTACTATTGTCTAATGTTTGATTTGTAATGAAGAAATATAACACTTAAGTAATTTATAGAATCTTATTTTAGTTCATTAGTTTTCCTTTTCTTTTTGCATTAAATATAACATTCAAGGTACACTTACAACCATGACCATATAGCCATGATGGCGACTCTATGGCACATGTGCCACAGGTGGCATATGGAGCCATTTCTGATGGCATGCGAGGTGTTGCTCTGTCAGCTCCAGCACGCATGTCCGCACTGGCCTCCACTTTTCAGCCTTCATTTTCGGCCATTTTTCGTCCTCCAGAGGCTTTAGGGAAGCCTCCTGAAGCCTCCAGGGGGAGAAAAATGGCCCAACAGGTAACCCGGAAGTCTGTTCCCGAACATCTGGTTTGCATGTTGGGCCGTTATTCGCCCTCTCCAGGCTCCTAGAAAGCCTCTGGAGTCTGGGGTCCAACCGGGCCCACTGGAAGTCAGAAAAAGGGCTGTTTCTGGCCTCCGTGGAGGCAGGGGAGGCCATTTTCACCCTCCCCAGACTCCTAGAAAGCTTCTGGAGTCTGGGGAGAGCAAAAAATGGACCTACCGAGCCCACTGGAAGTTGGAAAATGGGCTGTTTCCGGCCTCCAATGGGCGGGATGTGGACGTTTTCGCCCTCCCAGGCTCCAAGAAAGCTGTGCGCACATGTGCGGGGCAGTGGGAGGGGGGTCATGCATGCATTCACAGGAGGAATGGCACAGGGGATTAAATTATGGAGCTGGGCAGTCGTGCATACATGCTTTTGGCACCCAAGGTGAAAAAGGTTCGCCATCATTGTCATATAGCCTCAATAAAACTTGAATCGATTAGAAGATAATAAAAGTTAATAGAATGATTCAGAGTCTCTAAGTGAAACATGAAAGAACCAACTTTTTTCAAGCCACCTTAACAAAGATACTCCCCCAACTACACAAAAAAAGAATAAATAAAATGTTAACATTTTAAAGAATATACGATATAAGATACTGATAGAAGAAATTATCAGAAATAACTGATTTGATTAATATGATTTTTGATATTTCCATATGACACAGAATGTCAGAGAAAACTATACTACTGTTTTAAATAATTTGGTGCAGCAAAAGTACACAACAAGCAGATAAAATTTCAAAAGGTTTGTTCTTAGGTTTGCATCAAATATTGTATATAATTTTATTAATACAGTGTTTCCCCGAAAATAAGACAGTCTTATTTTCTTTTGACCCCCGAAAAAGCTCTTGGCCTTATTTTCAGGGAGGTCTTATTATTTTTGAGGTTCAGGAAGCGGTGAGCATGGTCACCTCATGGCTGCGGCTGCTGCGTTGCAATATTGGGGGGGCTTATTTTCAGGGGAGGACTTATTTTAGCGCATACACTCAAAAGCCTGATTGGGCTTATTATCCAGAGAGATTTTATTTTGGGAGAAACTGGGTAGTAAATTAATAATTAGTACTGTTAAATAGTAATCTTTATTAATTATTAATTTTAATGCAGCATGATATATAACAACACTGGGTATAAACATCCAAAGGAGAAAATTTGGGGCATTCAAAGTACTGTACTTTGATTTGAATTAATAAATGAGAACAGACAACTCGCCTTTCTGGCTTTTCAAGATTTGTTGAAACATTGAAATAGTGTCTGCTACTGGCAGAATTCAAGAGGTGCAGTATGGTGCCTTTCATTTTCAAGCAAGTCCTACATCCCTATTTGGCTATTTATGGCATTTAAAAAGCAACTATAATGTGACATTTCTGAGACCTGGCAACTGAAAGGCATTTTTGCAATTGCTTATCACGCAGATTTCAGTAGACGCCACTGCAATTCCAGAGAAGTCCCTTCGAGTGCCTAAGTGTAGGCTCTTGCAACACTAAAGTTATTGTGCCTGACAGTCAGAGACAGAAAGCTCTAAACTGAACGAATTATCTATGCTGTTGGGCTATGTGCTACACAGTAGTTGTGAGAAACACTGTACAAATACAAAGGACAAGGGAGAAAAGGTATGCAATAAAACTACCAAGCTCAATAAAAGCATTGTTTGTTGTCCAAAAGAAATCAAAGCACATTCATACCGAACTGAACTGCTCAATTTATATTCAGCATTTACAATTTTAACTGGATCATTCAGTTTTATATCTCATCAGCTGAAACGCAAGGAATAATGCAAATAAAGCGGGGCAATGCAAAACTATTTCTAATAATATACTCAGGTACAATTTGGTGTGTGTGTAGTTTTTAAACTTGTATTTATTACTCAAGATTTTACTTGTCACCTTATATGTTCAATTTATCATTTAAGCAGGACTTTAAAATGTAATAACAAATAAATCCAAGAAATTAAATAACCTAGTCTAAATTGGATTAAATATGTAGAAAGTTCCAGTTTAGACTTGTATTGAAAAAAGGAAATCTATGTGCCAAACATTAAATTGAAATAAGTTTTCTTTCATATGTAAAATAAACTTGAAAAACGATTAGAAGGAGTTAAATATGTTTTGCTATAAAGTTAGCTATCACACATCACATGTACTGTTGTTATTATTATTATGCTTCCTACTGAATTTACAACTGCTAAATCTTCAGTATCCAGAAGATAATCATAGCATACATAACCTGTTAAATCTTGCATTCTTATTTTGTGCTTCTGGTGCTACATTTTTACTTTCTAAATAATATTTAAGATTCTAGTAAGTAAAACTCTAGATATTTTACATTTTACTATAAATATAATTTTGCCAAATGACTCTCAGCAATTATAAAATCCAATTTGCCACCCAATTTTACTTAATATGATTACTCAAGCTGAGGTTTCAAAAACATCATTGGCAGATTACCATTCAAAAACTCTTATATGATCAAAAATTTTATAACTCACATGCATTGTATGACCACTGTAATCTTGGGTAGTATTTAGCTAACAGTATTTTGTTGAAGATACAAATAAAAAAATGTTACCTTTGTTGAGGATTTTGTTGGAACAATCCAAAAGAAATGTACTCATGCTGAGAAAATATTAATCTTAATCTATCATCTATCATTTAAAAACTGATTTATAAGAAAATATTTAAATAAATAAATTCTTTTTAATCAGACCAATGAGCCATCATGGACTAGTATCATGGACTAGCAAAATGACAGTGTTTAGAAGAAAAATAGCATAAACTGAATTCTAACTGCTGGAAGCTTCTCAATCATATTTTGTATTAAAAGATCAATGTGAAAAAAAATCTGTCAGAATGGATGTTTTATCTATAGCTTTAGATGAAAATAAAACAGGTATGCTATTTCACTTTACGTTATGTTTCTAAATTTAACACTATATATTCATGACTGCCAAATCTTTTTACAGAAAGCACAGTTTGATACAAGAAAAATACTTGGAATAATTTAAACAGAGTTTCTAAGTTTTAAACTATAAATAAAATATTTTATTTTAGTATTTTGCTGGAACATAATAATATTGACAACTTACATGTTTAAAAACATGCCCGATATAGCTTATTATGGCCAGGAAATCACTGGCAAATTGTAAGACATATGGTACTTGAGTATTTAATTTTTTATAAGATAGCAAGTGCAGTCTTGCACTTCAATCAAGCAAACTACAAAATACTTGAAACAGTTATGTCATGCCCAATACACTTCAGTTGTTCAGACGTGCATAAAATATAGTTATGCAGTCATATTTAAATGTCCTTGTCATAACATTTTAATTAGAACAGAATGCCCCTGTGTAGAACTCTCTAATGAAAATTGTATTTGCTTTGGAAAGTGTTTTTACAATACGTTGGTTGCCTAGATCTCATTATGGCATTCTTTAGACTTGATAAATAGTTATATGATTGGGTGCCTAAAATGAACTATATAATAAAGCTTGTACATAATCTCAAACATATATTTAGATATTTTAATTCAATGAATAAAAGATGCAGTTACTGGATTTAGTATTTTCTACTTATTGACAAATACTATACCCCATGTTTTACTAAATTGTAAATAACCAAGAATATAGGGCAATAGAAATATTAAACATTAACATTTATTCCTCTCATATAAGACTGAAAGTAATTCATCTAGAAGAAGGAAGCAGGGGCAGAGAGGAAGCTGGAAATAGTCTGAAACATATTTGTGAAGGTGCAGGATTCTTGTATTTATATATCGATGAGAGAGAGAGAGAGAGATATCATACATCTGACTTGGCTGCAACTCTTATTTTTAACATTCAAATATTTCATAGCAGTCAGAGAGAAAATAAGTTCCTTAATTTGGACAAATACACCTACAACATTTCCATAAAGGGAAAGTAATGGAGATAAACACAATAGGTTTACATAGACTTCTCAGACAAATCATCAATGTC